AGTTGTCCATGGTACTTCGGCTCTCACAACTCGCACAAAGGCAGGCAAGGCTTCACACGTGTGTGACACTGACCCGCAGCCCGCATCTACACACAACTGCTCGGAAGGATCGCGAAGTCCATCCAAAGCCAACCCATGCCGACCGCAGCCAGAACCCAGCCCCGGCGCACATGACAAGGAACGACCGCTATCATCAGGCCCCTTTGGGCGGCGCATCCACGAACATCAACGCCAATAGACTGTGTGGATGGAACAAGAATATACTAAGATACAGTAAGACATAGTAAGACCCAAGAAGCAAGATGCACTCAGCTCTGGGGCACACTGGCTCGCTCACGGCTGGGGGAGGAGAGATGAACTAGATCTTAATGCAAGCCTCAAGTGCCGTAAATTCCCCACACACACACAAAAACACAGACAGACACACCTAGGATTAGGAGACGCAAGTGTGGCCACAAGGACCCCTTGCATGCAATGAAGCGTCGGCAGGACTTCGTCTGACTCTCTGGGCTCAACACACGTGCTGCAGAGACCTGCGCATGACCTCCGAAAGGCTTCCCTGGCCTCGGTACAGTAGGCCCCCCGAGTTTCAACCGGCCTCCTTGGCATCTGCGGTGCGCTGTGCGGCCTTCAGCCTCTCCTGCTGAGCTGCCAGTCGGTACTGCTCCTGGCCGTCGCTTCACAGACCATCATGGCATCGTCGGCCAAGCACAACGACAAAGATTCTATGTTGACTCTTGCGTGCGCTCTGCTATCACGAGAGTCAGCACACATCGGCCAGCCCAAGTTCTCCCGCGGTTCCAATCGCCCGGTCGTTTTGTCGGTAGCTGTCGGTGCTGCGGAGCAAGACCGCATCTTCCCGTTCACGGGTGAAGTGCGCGTGAGCCAGGCCGTGCCCTGGCGGCTCTCCAAAGTCTCATCCGGTCCCCGTTTCACGTGTCCAAGGTTGACTGTAGAATGGAAATTTATGGAGTTCCCTCGTTGTGACTCGCCTCCGGCTTCTCGCGTTTCCCGGGATCTCCCCGCCTCATCTATGCGTAGCCGTCTCCTCGTCTCTCTTGGTTCCGCCCAACTTCTGCCTAGCTCTCGCCTAGCTTCCGGGATCTGTAATTACTTCCGAAAGCTGGGGCAGCGTGTGCTGAGACTCAGAGGTCCTGAAGCAGCTGCTCGCGCATTCGCGCATTCAGCTCATCTTTCTCCTCAGTGCTTTTCCACGGAGCCTACGTTCGCTTGTGAGAACCACCGCTCCGTTCTGCACTGCAGGCAGCAAAAGAAACACACCAAGGCAATCGTTCTGATCAGCTCTAGCACAGCAGCGAGAACTTGCAGGAGTTCACATACACATAGACAAGACTCCATCTGCTTCTCGTTGCTATTATTCGTCGCTCTGCGCGCAATAGCTTCAAGCCTTGCGCCGGAAGCAAGCGCAGCGGAAGCTGTATACTTCTGTGCACGAATCGGTGGGAATGCGTCTGAGGAGCGTTTCGTTTCCATGCTTCTTGAGCTCCTGTCCAGTGCTGTATCCATGCTCTTGCTCTGTTCACGAGCATACTGCATGCTTGACTGCGAGATTTCCAGGTGGCTGGCCTCTCGTCTCTTCTTCTGGACATCGAGGTCTTCGCACAGGAGCTGGATGCTCCGTGCCTGCATGACGACCATCTAGAATCTAGAACACAGGAAGCCGCAGTACAAGTTGCAGAACAGCTGCTTTGCCTTGATCTCGGCCCCTTCCATGAGATCCTGGAGTCGCGCTTCTTTGGCCCGCTCTTCTATCAGGGCCATCTGCTCGTCCAGCCCCTTGCGCATAGCCATGCGCTTCTCGTGCTCGTTGTCCTGCACTGAACTTGTGGAGGTGCTGCACAGACACAACAAGCCGCAAGCACTCTAGCCCTCTGCAGCTCCTTCTCCATCTGAGTCCGCCGCTGCTTGTTAAAAGAATCTGCAGTGACGGTCTTTGCCATATCCTCGAATTCGCTGTTCTTGGCTTGCCTGCAAAAGCACAGCACAAGCATCGACCAGGAGCTTCAATCGTTGTCAAAGGCTTTCGGAGATCTGAAGAAACCTCCGGGGTGCCAGAAAGGAGTAGGAATGAGTCGGAATGGGGTGGACACACTCCCAAAGCATTTCAGAAGTCTGATGACCTTGCAACGAACGCGCCACGCCAGGAACGACATGAGGCATCTTTTGAGTCATGCACTCCCTGGATATATGTAGCGATTCTTAGGGAGCATGGGGGTGGTACAGTGGTAGAATCGGCTCGAGGAGCCCATGCCGCAAAGCACAGCGCTCTCCATCGGCTCAAGAGTCCGAGTCCAAGAGGTCCCTCACGGCTTTCCCCATGGCGACTCCCGACTCAAAGGCGTCGCCTACTCGGTCTCCGACCGCCCAGTCGCCTCCCGCAACAAGCATCCGGTCCAGCTCCACGATACACTTCTCCGGAAGTCGCGAGGGATTCAGGGGGAACGCGTTGTTCCATCGGAAGGCCTCTGCATAAACCACATCTTCGGCTGAGCATCCGAAGTGACGACAGAATTCTTCCAGAAGCAGGCCTTGCACCTCTCCTTTCTCCAGTTCTGCTCGCGGGTTGCTCCAGTCCGGAGAGGCGTGCAGCACCCAGCATTCGGGAGACGGAGACTTGGGTCTGTCAGGTTTGGAGCTGTTGCGGCTCACCCAAGCGAAGCAGCTGCCGGAGGCCTCGGAGCCCTGCAGCAATGCAGCATCCCAGGCAAGATTGGAGAAGGGCTCAGAAGTCGCCACCAAAAGCGCCCAACAAACATTGGATTCTACTTTGGATGCTTCGCGGCCACTGGCACAATCCTCTCCGAGCAAGCGGACACAGCTCCGTGCACTGGTGGCAACTGCCAAGACGGATGTTTGTACCCGATCCGAATTAACTTGCAAAGTCCAAACCTTTCCTGCGTCATCCCACGAAGCCTTCGAAGCCTTGGAGCCTCTGCAGGATTGAAACTCAATGGGACTGCTCTGGGCTTCGTGGATGATGTGCTTACCAATCGCACTCATCGTCGGTATGCCTACCAAAGGTAGCTTCGCTGGATCGAAAGGCTCGAAGTCTGCATCGTGAAGGCCGGATCCTGTCAAGGCCAGTGTCCCAATCGCTCCTTTCCAGGTACCCGCCACGCCAGCGTCTTGCCAGGCCCGGCAGGCATCCGAAAAATGGGGCTGAGAAGCCTTCGACGTAAAGAACTGACAGCCATGATCAAAGGAGAGGGGGCTGCCCTTGTGTTCCCTGCGCCTGGTGCAAACCCGGCCTCCAAAACCTCGGCCCTGCTCCACCAGGAGCAAACGGAGGCCACGTCGCCTCACGCTCTTTGCAAGCTGTGCCACCACAGCGAGCCCTGCAAAGCCCCCACCCACCACGACGGCATCGTACGATTGATGCTCACAGGTGGCAGATGCAGCTCTGACGAAGCACTTTCTGGCCCTGCCACCATGCAGCGATCTGATGCCAGGCAGTCTGAAGCTGGACAATCGCAGAGTATACGCTGCAGCATCCATCTGACCAACAACAATGTGCCAGCTTCGGGCAGCAGTTTGAGCCGACATCGAAGGTGAAGCGCGAATGCATCTCTAGACATCTTGCTGAACGACGGATAGGCCGATAGGCCTGTAGGCTTTGTTCTCTTCGAGCTGCTTGTCCAGCCTGCTCCGCATCTTATGACCATAGACACGTGAAGCGCTGTGGACACGTGAACAAATGCTGTGACATTCACAAGGGCAGGGATCGAAGGCAAGCAGCTCACGTCGATAATACTCTTTCATGGCCAATCTGTGCTGCTCTCTCTTCTTCTCCTTACAAGGAGACACCACGTGCATGCGCTCTTTCATGGGCTGAAGGCGGGACTCAATGTTGCCAAGGCACCTCTTCCACAAAGGCCTTGGCATCCCAATTATTGCCGGCCTGTGCGATTTTTTGGCAGGCGCGGTGCAAGTACGGTTGCGGGTGCTGCAAAGCAGTGCAAGACCCGCCTGCTTCAAAGGATTGTCAGCTGTGTCCGACCACATGGCTCTCGGAACATACACGTCATCCGCGGCACTGGGATTATGACCTGCAGGGCAGCGTCAGCAAATTGCAGATTGGCAGGGAGCCTTTGCAAACCGCAAGCGCGCAATCTCTGCCTAAGACCATGCCGAAGTCGTTCTCTCCACGGTTTCGCAGAGTTTTTCGGATGCTGGCCTGGCCGAGTGAATCAGACGCTCTGCATCAGCTGAAGGGATGCACGGCGGCAAGCCCTGACTCTCACAATGATTTGCTGCCGAAGTTCGTTTATGGTTGCTTCCAGCTGCGGAGCACTAGCTGACTTCATCGGCGTTCGAGCTGCGCTGCGCGACCCCTGCAAGACAGGGATCGAACCCATCAAAACCCAACATCCGAAACAGCAAAGGCTACAATGCTAGACTTTGAAGACAGGGTGGATCCTCGGATCCTGACCACTTGCCCGGCCTGCGAACTTGGCATCTCTGCCCTTCCCTCCACCGGCTTCGCCGGTGAGGGAAACAGCTATATTGGGCCCTACGCTTGGACCCTGTGGCGGCGGAGTGCTTGAAGGTGGAGGGCCCTACTTTCATGAACGCGCGGAATCAGCGATTAGAGGTTTGAACAAAGGGCAGGCAACGGAGCGCGTCCTGCCATCTTCCACCGCGACCATCGGCATACATGAAAGCATTCCAAGGCATTGGAACTGGAACATGGCTCGGCAAGGATTGCATGTTTCAAAAACATAGAGACCAATGTGCGTAGAAGAACGTGGGGCAAGTGCTGTTACTCCATGCCCTGACATGCTCCTGCTACGCAGGACCGTTTAACAGCTTGTGCATGCTCGCTGCTGTGTAAGGGAGACACTCGATGATACTCTCTGTCTACACACTGTCGTTCCGGAATTTTCTCGAGAGTGAGATGTGCTTGTTCTGGCGAAGCTTCAACTCGACCAAGAGCGGAGTGACAGTCAGCTTTCGGCTCAGATCAAACACATCCAAGTGGCACAGAGTCCAGAACAAGCACATAGATGTTGGGCTGGCGGGCCAGGTGCGTGGGTCCTGGAGCCACGGCTACGGACACGGCCGGACTTTTCTTGAAGTGTGTTGACCTCCGTCCTCGAGCATGGCTCCGTGGAAACCCCTGACGAGGAGTCAGCGGCACGGATGTGTGGAGCCTCGCCGCCATAGCCACTCGAAACGTTTTGGCAACTCTTGGAGAAGCTGCTTCAGATTCAGAGGTGCCCAGAAACTCAGGTGCGCACGCACTCCTCCCATTTCCTTCAATGACAACGCTGGCAGCTCTTACCTGTGCCAGAGTGGCTGATCCGAGCTGTAACCCTACTCAGACAGAGCTTCTCTTGTCCGAATTCCGAATGCTTCTCCCTTCCCGGAGAATCGAAAGAGACATGCCTCGCTTTTTTCAACCCTCAACAAAACTTGGGCCTTCAGCCGTGCTCCTGTCGATCCTGCATTGTGTGTGAAGGCGACAACAAGCCAGGGGCAGATTCATCTTCAGGTTCCTTCAGCACTCGTGCTCGAACAGGTCAGGCGAGGTAGCAGGGCCTCTTGAAGTTCCTGGAGGAAGAGAGCGAGGTAAGTGTAGAGTGAGCGAGAGAGAGGAGAGAGAGGAAAAACACGGATGACACCAGAGACGAGAGCGAGCGAGAGAGACACCTCGGCAGGGGTGTGCTGCCACTTCCTGGCCTAGTCGTACATATCCTGCTTGCGGTGTCAGTGTCAGGTGTAGGATTACTTCACTTCCCAATTTTTTTCGCGTTCACAGGCCCTTCAATCTGCAAGGGTAATTCCACCCTGTCCTGCGGTGACCTTGTAAGAGAAGGGCTTCCTGCTGACGGCCGCGGGCAAGACTCGAAGCCGAAGCTCCCCCTCCTGCGCAAGAAGATTACCCGCAGGCTGACTGCACCTTTCGTTCCAGCTGAACGAGGCCTGCAAGATCGTAAGGTTCTCGCCTTCGAGGACACTTGGCCTCAGCAGATTTTCCGATTTTACGCATGAGCGAAGGCTGTCTTCGTGTACATCAGCGTTGCATGATAGGGCCACGGCAGCCAAGAATTTGCCGCCTGTGCGCACGGAGCCTGGCGACCACGACTGTCATTCCACTTTGGAACCTCTCTCAATCGATCCCTTGCTCCAATTCGAGTCCACTACGACGAAGCTTCCCTGTCAGTTTCCACCGGTTTGCATGCAATGACTTCTTGTGCAGTTTGGGGATCAGGGAACTGACGTCTGTGTCGGGTAACCTTCATGGGCACGCGAACTTGTTCTTGGAGGGCTGGCGTGCGGCTGCAAGTGCTCTGCGGAGGTCCAATGAACGCACGGCTGTACTTGAAAGAAAAATTCGAGCGACGCACGCCTCATCTTCCGGCGCAGTCTGCGTGCACTGGCCAACATTTGCAGGCACCACAGGTGGTGGACACTTGATGAGTTTGCTCCTGCTTCGTATTCACACCCGCTGAGACAACGAGAGGACTTGCTACTGGAGAAGGCGGTGGCTTCAGATTCGGGACACGATGGCACCCAGCCGTCCGAAGACTTGAGATGTTTGTTGTGATTGTTGTTTAAGCTTAGCCAGTGCTCCCCAAAACAGTGCTTTCTTTTATTTCAGGCTAGTCTTGACAGGCTGTCAACACCTCTAGCCATGTGACAGGTAACGGACTTCATGGATCCCCGATGGAACGATTGCAATCCGGCAAGCAAGGCTGTTGGTGCTGGCTCCAGGTCGGCGGCGATCTTGCGCAGGTTATCTCTCAAGTCTTTGACCTTGCGGCAGGTGCCACACAATCTACGGTTGCTGAGTTGCAAGCCGTCGCTCAGCTCTCTGCGCAGACTGTGTCGCCACGAAATCCGTCCTCTGCATCCTTGCATTGGGATAGCACCTGAGTTGCTGCAGCTGGGCGGCGGCTGCCCCGCAACTTCACGGCTCCCTTCAGCCCAAGCAGCTGCAGTCACAGCTATGCAGCTCCATAGCGTCTTCATGCCTCGAGGCCATGCTGGGCATGCTCGGTAATGTCGTCTGCATTGCAGGGCAATCGCTTCCTGTCTCTATCTTGCTACTGGTAGGACGTCATGTGATTGTACAAACGGCGGTTTTGAAAGCTCAAGCTCTCGGATTTGAGCCAGTGTGAATACACATCTTCCAGTGCTGCCACATCCACTCAGCGTGCAACAACCCATGAGAACACTGAAGAGACTGTACTCGCAGATGAAGCGTGCTTGGGCTCTCCCTTCCTGCACAACACCTACAGCCTACAATTATCACATCTGCCTGGTGAGAGTCATCCCAGCATAACCCATGTGGCAAAGAAACGCAAACCGCCTCGAAGGACTTCGACCTGGGCAAAGAACTGCAAGGGCCACGGCGTTTGTGTTGCGATGGCCGCTACTGGCACCGGGGACTGCACACCCACGGAGCTGGTGCACCGCAGTTGTTGCAATGCCTTGGCATCTTTCGTCAGGCTCTCACCCTGCCCCGTCTGTGCCATGCATCTCTGTGACCACGGCTGCCGTTCGGGCTTGTTGTCCTCACCGCAGCGAGGACCTCCGGCTTTGAAGCACATGCTGCCTGAAGTGCGTTCGGACATGCTGGGGACCCAGGCATACCCACCTTTCGCGGGTCGGGGACGCAGCGCTATCCTCGTAACTAGGAACAATGTTCATGTTTCAATGTGGTGGATGGCTTCACTCCACAGACGACCCGCAAAGTCAGCACCCTGGTTCTTAGACGTCTGTCCTCCATGGAAGCCAGCCTTTCCAATCTTCTTCGCATCAGCGCTGCCTGGATGAACTCCTCACAAGAAGCACGAGTCGCTTTGTGCGTTGTTCTTCGAAGCAGGCTCCAGCAACCCTCATGCAGCCATTTTCTTCCATGAAGCTGCACACAGCATCGGATGAGCATTCATGTCGTTCCTGGCGGGGCCAGTCGAGACAGGAGCCACATCGATTCCAGCAGGTGGGTCTCACAAAGCACGATTCGCTCGCAGAGACCATCTGCCTGCTTGGTCCAAGGATTGCTGCAAGCTTCTCGCCTGCTCCTTCGTGGCAATGTACTTTGCCTCAGGTCCCGGAAAAGCTTTGAGGAGAAGAGGGTTCTGCAAGCGCACCCGAGCCACGTGCCATCAGCTCGGTGGAACGTAACGAGCTGTGCCAAAGCATTTGCCCGACGTAGTCACCTTGGCACGAGCGCACATGTCGGCTTTCCCGCTCATGCTCGGACTCTCCGGACGAGTCACAATCGATACGCGTTGGGTACACGCATGTCTGCTTGGCACTGCTCACACTTTCCATGCTGCCACAGCTATCGAAACAGCTTCTAAAAGCATTTGTGGCCGTGCGGCGCTGACGGTCGCTTTCGAGTTGCTGCCACCGCTCGCTGAGAAAGTCCCTGCGAGAGAGAAGGAGAGAGACGGAGGGAGACAGAGAGAGAGAGAGAGAGAGTAGAGAGAGAGAGACAGAGAGAGAGAGAGAGAGAGAGAGACACAGAGAGAGAGAGCGAGCGAGCGAGCGAGCGAGGGAGGGAGGGAGGGAGGGAGGGCGCGAGAGGGCGCGACAGCACGCGCGAGCGTGAAAGAGCGGGATTCAGACACCACAAACCCATTCTCGGAGATGTCCAGCGTCAGCTACTCCGTCATTTCTGTCCCACACACGACTGGAAGAAGGAAGGCCTCAACTTCTCCTCCAGGCGGTTCCTTAATGATCTTCGTACACTCAGTTCCACTTAACAAATCTACGGCTACGGTGTCATCCGAGGCTTGCAGATCACACAACTCTGGGCTCCGTCCTAACTAATGGTCCACACAAGCATGGGGTCGGAAACAAGGCCCCGGACCGCAAAGCAATGCTTGACTGTCCACAGGCCGAGGCGCTCATCAAAGCGTTCCCCGAGAAGAGCTGCTGCACGCTGCTGCTGCACCTGACCAAACGAGCAAGTGTCGGACTCAATGCTTGATGCTTGCAAGTCGCCGCCACCGAGATTCTTCCAGCAAGGTATCCAGCGACGGCTATAGTAATGTACAAGCCACGCCTCCCACTGAGCTGGGTCCCTCAAGGCTTCCACGATGCCCTCGGCGAATGCCTCCGCATCCTGCTGAGTCAGCCGAACAGGAAGGCTTGTGGCTTGTGCAATCCAGGAAGTCTCAGCCAGTCCTCCCCTCCAGTTTCCACCACATAGCCCGGGAAATCCTCGGGCGCAGCGATGCCTTCCACGCCCACAGGGGTGGTGACCACCACAAGGCCATGCTGCATTGCCTCCAGGACCTGCAATGCTTCGGTTTCAGCGGGCTTCCCCGGGTCCGTCTACCCATGTCTCACCCCAAGTCTGTCTGCATCCTGCAACAGTGGAACAATTACAAAAAAGTGAGCCCAAGATCATGATGACAACTTCGCTCAGCAATACTCAGCAGGTCACACGAACAACGGATTGAAATAGTAAGACGCAGCCCACCTTGCCCTTCACACCGGCGCCATAACGCAACGGCGCTACCAGCAGCTGATGTTGCTGCATAGCTTTCTTCACAGAGCGGCAGTAGCCACGCACCTCAGCAGTCCCAAAGACAGTCTCAAAGCCAGGCTCAAGGGCCTCTGAGCCCGCAGCGTAAGCACCAAGGCTCTCTTGAGTCAGCGCAGCATCTTCTGGAGTCTGATTTGCGCCGTAGACGCTTAGCTCCAAGTCGGGCAACCGTTGGCGCACCAATGGCCAGACCTCTTGGATGAGCCACTTCGCACAGTCCCGATTCGGCCTGTGGCGCCAGTTCCTGGATCGGACACCGACAAAATGCCGCATTCTTCCACGACCAAGCATGCTGGAACCCAGGGCACTCCAACATCTAATGAACACATCGAGTCTCCCGATGAACATGGCGCCCTGCCGGCGTTGATAGCCGGGCAGCACCCCAGAAGGCTGAGCAAAGCCGAAAGGTGCCGCAGCGACCTGCGGCAGGCGAACCGTGCAGTCATCTGCACGACCTCCCTTGCCACTCACCTAGTCGTGAAAACTGGGCCTTCCAGCTCGGCACTCCATAGGTGTCCACTAGCAGAACCCGCTCGTCTTCCGAGATGGCCAGCGTCGCATCACATCCTCTGTCGGTCAAGGCCGAGTTAGCACGGAAACAACTGAGATCTGAGGATGGTTCTCCCCAGCCGTCCCTACGGTATCTTCAAGGAATTTCACCTACGAGAAACACATGGGCCATGGACAAAAATGGCATGACATGCCGCCGGAGATTCGAGATTTTCCTGATGCCGAGCTGCGATGGATAGAAGCCAGCTCACGCTGCAAGTCCTCGTCGAAAGCCTTCGGCCGGTAGGAGGCCTTGGATGCAGGAAAGAAGCTGGCGTCCCCCTGCGTGACCACAAAGATCTCTTGCAGTCCAAGGCACAACCGCGCCAGCATCTGCACCACCTGCAATGAGCCGCTCCCGACCTGCTAGGCTGCCCAAACTTCATGATCCTGCGACCAGACACTGTTAAGACTCCTGGCCGAGATGCATTCAGCATTCCACATGACTGCACAGGCAGCACATGACACGCGCATCTACATGAGTCTACTGTTCCTCAGACCCGCACCGAGTCGAAGAGCATGGAAGTCCTGCATGTCCTCCCAGCGAGGAAGGCCCGACCGTTGCTCTCTCTGTCTCTTTCTCTTTCTCTTTCTCTTTCTCTTTCTCTCTCTCTCTCTCTCTCTCTCTCTCTCTCTCTCTCTCTCTCTCTCTTGCTTGCACGCAGCCGAAGAGGAAGCGGTCCACGCCCCCTCTTGCGCACATCTCTCTCTCTCTCTCCCTCCCTCCCTCCGGGTGTTTGTTGTGCACTCTGTGTCCAGCACGCGCATGGCATCAGGTTGCCTTTCCCGAACGTAGTGCCCAAACCTCGGAAACTCCGTCTCAGTGCACGCAGACTGTACTATGCGGAGCTGAAGGAGCCGCCTCTCTTCCGCATTGAAGCCATCGAAGACAATGAGCTCCGGATCTCCAGAAGACTCCTTTCCAACGTGATGACCCCGCCCCCTTTTGGGGGGGGGCTATGGTAACAGTAAGGGTCCTAATGTTGGAGCCCTCAAAGAAAGAGAAGTTGTGAATGAGTGGTGTACACCATTTTTGTGCCTAAACTTGTTGTGAATGCTGTCCAGTTTTTTTGACACTCACACTCGGACACTGTCTAGTTATTATTTGTAATTGACAGGACTGGAGCCCGCAAGCGAGTTCACTTGCTGGGTGAGCAACCACGGACAATGGCAACTGTTAACTGCTGGTGCTTTTGAGACAAGAGTATGCGGCCAGATTTTTGCCGGGTTACCAGGGCAGCCACCACGGAGGTCTCATCGTTGCTCTTGATGCCTTGCAGGACGGTCGAACTCTGCAAGGGTGAAGCGCAACTGGCTCTTGCCAAGAATCGGAAACACTTCACATCGTTCGCGGCAGACAGCTTTCCCTGAGCATTGCCCGGACGTGCCGGCGATGCAAAAGAGACCGGATTGTCAGATTCCTGCAGCTGCAGAGGCAGTGCTTCATAAGAACGAGTCCATGCCGCCGGAAATACTTTTTCCACTACTCATCCTGTGGCTTAAAGCCTGCGCTGTCACGTAATTTAAAACCGGTTTTGTTGCGTGTCTGTCGTCATGGCGAGCATCGAGGCCACAGAAGCTGCGTAGTAGGCGAAGCCGACCAGCCGTCACTCGCCCTGCAGCAGACACGTCCGGATCCGGCCAGTTTGTGCTGATGACCTCGCAGTGCTTGCAGCTTACAAGAGCAGCGCCCAACCCAGGCAGACCAAAGCCGAGGGGCCATGGCACGGCAGGGCCCCGGCGCGTTGGGTCTCTTTCGGCCGCGCTCCTCCGCCAGCTTCTCAACCGGCGAGTCCGAGTCTCGGGAAGCTTTGGCGGCCTGAGGCACACCTTTCACTCGCCGGAAGATGACGGCCATGCGCCGGTCTGATAGGAAATCTTCCTGAGGATGCGGAATCAGATGGATGTGGATGGATCTCAGCCGACAAAGCCTGTTTTGCAGAATGCAAGTACAATTCCAGTCGCAGCCGAGAGACAGCCTCCGGAATTCCGTGCTGCCACTCGTAGCCTGAGTGTTACCACAAGTTGACGTATGCAGACTCTACATCACCTGAATTGCATTGAAGGCAACCAAGGACTGTTTGCAAGCTGCACGAGTTGTCTTAATGCTACTGATTTTCTAACCTTTCGAGAAGACTCGCCGACTGCTGCTCCTACTCGTATATTCGTAAACTCTCTAAGCTCTCGCAAGACCTTGCGAACCGAAATTGCACCAAGCAAACAAGTCTTGTTGAGCTGGGTACGGCACGTGCAGAACCACGCAGCACCAGCAGCGATCGTGGAGGTATGGCCACACGTATCGTTGGCGCATCGGCACCTGTCACAAAGCTGAGATCGTGTTTGTGCTGGCAGAAATGGACAAGTCTGCTGATCGCCATGCTAGACTAAACATGATGCTCAATGCCTGCAGTCTTCGATGAAGGCGCGCTGAGGTTGGACCTTCCTCCCATCTGAAACGTCATCACACAGTCCCCCATGACGGTGACTGAGCAGACACATTCTTCGTAAAGGCCGCGATCGTCCCAGTGAAGAAGCAGCCGGGAGCCATCACGGCTGTAGTCGTTGACATTTGCCTCTCGGAAACTACTCCCCTGAAGAGCTTCCCTTCCTTGCCACGATTGCACAGTCTGGCTAATGTCACCCCACGGAACTTATAGGCCACCGACGTCCAGCAAGCAAAGAAGCTTCAACATTGCTGGCCTCATTCGGCACAAATCCCTTCAGGCAGCGGCTCCATGGCAAGCCTTGTTGTGACAGCCTCTGTGACACCTGACCACAGACACTGGCCACAGGTCTCAAAGGCAGCAAGGGTGACAAACAGTCCGGTCTTTCAGTCGGCGAGGCTTCCGAGGGAAGGGCAAGCCCGAGGATGCCGTCGCATGGCAGATCCACTTCGCCAAGCTTTGGATCTGGAAGGCCTGGTGCACGGAAATGGAAAACCGCCGTCTACCACCGTCTCCAAGTCTCAAAGAATAGCAAATGCTCGGCTCTAATCGTGAATCCAAGCAACGCACCATGCGTGGTCGCAGAGAGCCAAGGACACCGAAGTGCTTCACCTTAACCGCCCTAGCCTTCTCAAAACTGGCATCCGCTTGATGCGGCCTCATGGTCTGAATGCTTCGTGACGAGTAGCCCGGTAGAGGGTTGGAACTCCGAACTGTTCTTGGCTCCACTTCGGTTCGCCCTGGTCCAAAAAGTCCGCGAGCTCCCGTCCTTACGAGGCCACGATGAGCAGTCTGCAAATTCGCGATTCCACGCGTTGCTACACGGCCTATGCTAGGAGTCTAAAAGTACTTGGCACTCATCAAACAACCTGAACGAGACCCGGGTTCCCTCTTCTTCACTCAGGAAGTCCGGGAACAGGTGCAGCCCCTTGACGTGCTTGGCAGCCTCCTCCACGCTCACAGGCGCCTGTGTCAACAGCTCACGCCCCTTAGACTTTATTGCTCGGCACTTTTTTGTCTGTCTACCTCGTACTTCCTGTACTATCCTATCAATGTGGATGTAGCTAAATTACATCGGGTCACTTACCAGATTTTGGCACAGGTAATTTAAACCAATTTGGGGCAGGATGTCCAGGCTTGTCCTGGTACTTGCCTGTATTTCAGCTGAAAACTTGGCAGTTGTGGCTGTGTACGAGTTTCTTTGTACGTCCGCATGTGACAGTTTACAGGTAGTTTACATGTTGCAATCAACGCGTGCCACGAGACATGCGAACTGGTGCAGAATTTTGTCTTCGTGCTGGACTATGGTATGCCATCTCTCCGCACATCACGTCATGCCAGCTCAATCTCCATCTGTTTGCATACACGCGAACCCAACATGTACAGGTGCAGGGTATGCGGATTTATGTATGTATGCATGCATGTTGTGAGTGTATATCTTGTGTGTGTGTGTGCGCGCATGTGCGTCTGTAGCATTGGGGAGGTTCATACTACGGAGGTTGCATTACGGGCTGGATGCATGTGTATGAGCATACCCTCTTGTGTGTGCGCGCGCCGTATGCAGAGGGACATGTGTAAACAGAGCAAGAAAACACAAGCACGCAAAAGACGACCGACTTTGACGAGGTCGGGTGAGGTTTTTGGGAAAGAAGGGTAACTCTGGCAAAGACGCAGGCAGGTTCACCTGGTTTTAAACTCACCAGCTGGCAGACTTTCCATCTAACCGCCCGAGCCGATTAGCCACAAACTCTCTGGCCAAAATGACCGATAGATACATGCCCATGCTGTTGTGAGAAGCACACACTTGCAACTTGCTCGGCCAAGGTGGCTGCGCGCTATCATATCCCCGACCCGGCCTGCAGTGTCGGAGTGACCTGTTTGCTAAAACCGGTTGCAGCTAATTGAAGGATGGCCAATACTTCACGTCCGCACCCTCCACGACCCGCTTCGATCTGGAGCTTGGAAAATTTCTACAATTGGGAGCAGCTGCCTCTGTCCATCATGGACGAGGACAGTACACGCACACAAACCTCAAAGCTGCACGTTCATAAAGCAAGCGCTTTAAAGTCCATGCGTCCGTGTAGATCTCGCTCTGTGCAAATGTGTAAATATACACATGTATATACACACATACTGTTGGCACTCACGCTCGACAGAGTCAGGCGAGGTTGGGGGCACAGCAGAGTTTCTGGACACATTAGTCACATACATACATACATATACACATACATATACATACACAGATATACAAACATTTCATGTAAGAGCGCAGTAAAACATAACTATGTGCATGGGCCTGCACGGATAGACCCAGCCGGACTTCTTACTTGCTTCGGCTCGTGGACCCGCTAGAAATCTGTTAGTTCTCCCTGTACATCTGCAATGTCCGGCGCCCTGGCTTGGACTGTATATCCAGTGTATATGCACTTGCAGGCCCACCTGGGCAGTCCTTGTGCAGCGCCGCTGCAGCCGTGGACCACGTGAGCAACGAGAGGTTCCGGCACCTGCCATGTGTGCTTGTAAGGCGTAGCGTGCAGTGCCCAGCTGGTGTCCCCGAGCCTGATGCACAGAGCCTCAGCCGCGCAAGTAGGGGCAGAGCTGTGTCAAAATGCAGTCTGACATTCTCATGCTCTGTCGACACTCCTCTGCTCCTTGGCTGACTTTGGATCCGAGCCCAAGGCAGGGGAATCACAGCGGCCGTAGTGAGCGGACTGATGTGGCACCGTGCCTGAAGCCACACATTAAAAAAATGAGTAATGCCACGGTCACGTAATCCTGGCTTGAAACTTCCAAACATTTCTAAGCTGGACGTTCCAAAGCCTGGCGGGTAGCAAGAGTGTGCCGTTGCTGTGCAGCAGCCTGGGCCTGAGCCATCCACAGCAAACGATGCAAACAAGCTTAGGGTTCAGCTCTGTCAGGCATCACACTCTGGTCTGATGCTGCCTGGCAGCATTTGAGACCAAAGAGGGCCGGAGCACTGGTGAAGCAATGGTCGTCAGGATGCCGGGTCCCATCATAGTGCTCGGCGTGTGACCCATGGCGACCACCTACCGAACCGCAATGGCTCCCAGCAATTCCCAGCCTTCGGGGCAAGCGCAAATGTTCCAGGATTCCAAGAAGGAAAAGATTGCAGTCAGCGGCAGGTCGACTTCTAGCAAGTATGCTCCATGTGGCATAACAATCCTAAAGAACTACCGAGAACGTTGAGCCAGTGGCCTTGAGAACCCAGCATGCTCCAATGCACTTGCAATTCCAGACGGGCGATCAGGATTCAGCGACCGACAAAGACTTGACTAGGCACGATTCGAAGGTCCTGGGACGAACTTCGCACCAGAGAGACCTCCTCCTCTTTCGCCTTCTTCTCTTGCTCTCGGAGGGCTGCTTGCCGAGCCTCCTTTGGCGAAGAGATGCTATTGCCAGGCAGGGATGAGGCAACTTGCGACAGGCCACGACGACCCTCAAAAAAGAGCACTTTGAGGGCTAAGCTAGGGCCACCTAGGAGTGGAAACACAGCTGAACACAACTTTTCCTGACGATTGTGGAGCGGCGAGAATCCCGGCGTTTTCGCCGTCTAAAACATGCAAAGCTGCGAGGGCAAATCTATCCACTTCGAGGAACAACTCGCATGCAGCCAGTGGTAGATCCCCTGTCGCACACGCAGACAAAGCACTTTGGCAGGAGAACACATCGAATCGACCTGTCTCAAGCAGGTTTGCGAAAAGCCAAAGCGCGATCTCCCATTCTTCAGCTCTCGCACATGCAAACAACGCACTGTTGTGCGTCATCGCATTGCCCACCCAGCTTCTGCGCGATAAGTCCAGAAGCAGCCGGAGCGATTCACGCCACTTGAAGCCTCTCTCACAAGCCCCAATAGCTGCACTGAAAGCAGAAAGGCCAAGCTCCACAAGCTTTGCATCCTCATGCAGAACTTGAACAGACCTCTGCCATTGCCCAGCATTCCCCAGGGCCCGAAGTAGCGAATTGAGGGTGATAATGTCTTCCTGCAATTGGCTGCAGCATGCCTTGTCTATCAGAGCGCATGCAGCGTGCCAAATTTCACCCTTCTCACAAGCGCTGATACCCGCATTGTATGCGATGAGGTCGTTCCGCAATCGTTTAGCTCGGAGCCCGAACAGAAGTAGAAGAGAATACTGCCACTCCTTGTTCTTCTCGCAGGCACTGATGGCAGCACTGTATGTGACTCGGTCCCCACGTAGAAGGCTGTGCTCCATTACATTGAGCATGGACAGGGCACACTCCCACCGGCCACCTTTCTCCGCAGCGCTTGTTGCTGCACTGTATGCCTTGACGTCCGCCTGAATGGTAGTTGAAAGCATCTGTGCAAACAAGGCCAGCGCAGGTTCCCATTTCTCAGCCTTCGCGCAAGTGCTGATAGCAGCACTGAAAGCAACCACATCACCATCCAACTTTCCTTCCTCCATGTCCGCAAGGAGCTGCAAAGCTTGCTGCCACTCCCTTTCGCACGCGGTGATGGCAGTAGTGTAAACGATGACGTCGCAGGAAATCCGAGAAAAGTGCATCTGACAAAGGAGCACCAGTGCACCCTGCCATTTGCAAGCCTTCTCGAAGGCCCTGAGAGCAGCGCTGTGGGAAATCAAGTCCCGCTGAAGCCCCTCATGTGGGAGACAAAACAGTTTCAGAGCTTCCTCCCATTTCTGACGTCTGACGGCGCTGGAGATCAAGACATTACAGCTGCGAGTGTTGGCGATGCTGCGCTTCATGGCATGCTGTGGTAGGCCACGCAGATTCCATCAGCCCTGGTCGGTGCTTCATTGCGGGCATCGACGCCATCGACGGGTGACCCTTCGCCGAACCTTGCTGGCTGCCAGTGTCGAGAGCCGAAAAGGCTAGCACAAACTGACACTAAGACGAAGAACCACCGACCACGCCTGAGTAAGTTCGGAGACTCATTGCTCCCCACGATTGCATCGCGCTCCACAGGCTGGTCTGGGCTTGGCCAGGCCTCCGCTTCTGCCTCTTTCTGCGCTTCGAGGGCTTTGCGCTCTTCCTGTGCCAAGCAGCCCAGGGCCCAGAAGTGCAGACGACGTCGAAAGCCGAGTCCTCCGCTTTCAGCGCAGCTTCAGCTTGCCGCTTCTGTTCCTGCCGATGCCCCAAAACGCACGGCAGCTGCAGGCTGCAATGCGGGGGCCCTGGCCTCCTCTGCAGCCTGCGCGGCTTCCAGAGCGGCCTTTGCGGCTTCGTCCTCCACCTGAGCTGCACAAACGCACAAGCCAGCGCACTGATTGCACTCGAGGTCAACAAAAAACAACAAGGTCATGTCATTGCCTTCTCCTCCTTCTCCTTCGCCATCGCCTCCTCCTCTTCTTCCTCGTAAGAATACGACCTGACCAAGCGTGGCAGACCCACTGCAGCCTTTGACATGACTCGAGCTATATGCTCAGCCAATTTCCGAATTAATTTAGGATGTTTAATTAGGGGGGACCGCCCCTGTTGGTTCGCAGAACAAGTGACTCTCCGAAGCTCCGGACGACTTGAGCTTCAGAGCTTCAGAAGGAAAATTCCTGAACCACCCCTGGTGTGCAATCGAATTTAGACATCACGCGAGGCCTGTTTGTGAGCTGCATGTGCTCATTTTACACGCACCGTTCTTTCTGCCTTTCTTTCGGGTGGCTTGGGGGACCTTGCACCCTTCCTTGCGCATCAAAGCTTACAGGAACAGGCAGTCGTCCTTTGGCAGGTCTTTCGAGCAAGAGGTCATCTTTCTTCTCGCGCCCTCTCCGCATCTTGCTTCAGAGGGCTCCCTTTCTCCGCGGTTCTGTATACACACGGTGTTTAGACTGACAGATATATCCTGTGGCATGCTTTGCACAGCTTTAAGGCCCCTGCTCGGAGGAGCCCAAAACGAACAGCTCGGTGTTTGGGACCGCCTCCACCTCACAGGCCAGAGCCTTTCACACCTTCAACATTCAATTTGTGGCAGGTTGCGCGAAACCGAAAGGCCTCGTCCTCCTCCTCCCTTTCTCCGGGCGGCTTTGGGGCCATCTCCTCCTGCATCGCTGCCAGCGCCTCCAACACAGGGCACAGAGGATCACATCCAGTGGGACGCCCCGCCCAGCGATCAATTCTGAAAGGGCCTTCTGGGCTGCTAGCTTTCGGGCATCCGGCTTGGCTTTCTCGGCCTTGCTCTGCGGAGTGCGGCATGAACTCTCCTACATCTGTCAGTCCTGCTTGGCCGGTCCTTGTCCGGCGACGCCTTGTCCGATGTCGCCTTGTCCGGCTTCGCTTTGTCCGGGTCAGGCTTTCTTCTACGATGCCTCGGCCTCACTGACATGTCTCTGCGGAAGTCCCGAGTCAGACCTTGTCATCGCACCTTCGAGAGCGGCTTCGTGAAGCGCGGTGTCGCCTTGCGGGTGCGAGCGAGTCGAGATTAAACCCCTTCGGCCTTTGGTCCCGGCTTCGTGACAGCTCCGTAAGCGACAAAGCGCCCCAAAGCCCAAGGCCCCGGCTCACGACTGTCCATTCCTGAGCGCCGCCGCCGTCGAGGCTTCCTCTCACGCTCACTCTGACCTGCGTGGGACAGAAAACCATCGATCCACTCCACTTGTGGCGCTATGGTCGCGGGCCTCTGTCATGATCACGTGGGCGCTTCTCCGGCTCCTTCTTCGCTCAGCACATCAACACGACTCGATACCAGTACAGTCGGTTGTGGGCTGTGCACAGGTGTGAGAGGCATGGCCTTGGGAGCCTCCCGCGCAGCAAGTGGGCAGGATCGCCTAAGAGTCTTGCACAGACGGCGAGTGGCGAGTGCAACTGAAAGAGAATGCTCGGAGCTGCCCAAGTGCGCAGCTCGCCGCGCCCCTCCCACACAATCGGCTCCTCCTGGTATTGTGCTCACGACATCTCCCTTCCCACAGCGACATCAATCTCAGATGCACTCCTCCTCCTTCGGCTTCTCGTTTGCTGCGTCGATTAGCTCTTGGGGGATCTCCCTGAAAAGCCCATGTCCCGTTGAGGCTTCAAGACAGAAAGCAGCTTGCCAGAGGTGCCGACTCCCCGGCAATCTGTGCAGCTGCCAATTTGGCCTGCGCAGCTAGGATTGCAGTCTGCTCGTACATTCAACGCTGGCCTGGTGTGGGTCATGAGTCATGACTGAAAGCCTATCATCTCTACTTCGTGCATCGAAGTGAGGCACGGGGTATTGCGTGGCTCTGCCTTTGCGAGCTTGGGGTTCAAGTGGCACCTGAACGACACATGCAAGAAAGGAGATCTCTCCGACGTTGCCAACTCATCAACCATGCATTGATTTCCTTTTCCGATTGATTCGAGATATAAGAGAGTGGAGGGAGTGACCGAGTCACCGCCTTCAGCAAGCCTCCGAAAGGTGCTGCCCCAAGAAATATTGATATAATTTGCCAAGCCCACTCTGGTCTGGGCGGGCCACCTAGCCACCTGGCTACGAATTATTGGAATTGCTGTGCTCTTTGGCACTGTTCCAGTTCCTGGCTCTGCTTTGGGTCCAGGTTTCGCACGGCTCAAGTGCTTGTTGACTTGATTCTGGCCGCGAGGCAGAAGTTGCAGAGTGCCTGTGCCGCAGAATGTGAATTTCGGGCAGCAGCCCATGTCGAAAACATTGCGCCTGGATCAGCAAAGAGGGTGGCTGACCAGCGACGGGTGTGCAAGGTAAAACCAAAGACGAGAATGGGCCAGCATGAGGGAAGAAACTTCGTCGGGGTGAAGTCCGTCGAGAGGGCAACGAAAACTACATGGTTGCGCTTGGCTCGAACAAGCTTACACACAGGTGCCGGAAAGGCAAACGGTAACTGCAGCAGGTAGCAATGCCAACGCAAACAAAAGGCAACATATTCCCAGCTGAAAGCAACACTTGACGAGTTAGTGGCAAGTGCAGATTCAATGCAAGGCAGTAACCACGATTAGCAGCAAGGTGAGGACAGACCCCGGCCTCAGTCGGCAAAGATGTCTGGCAGAGACTGGAACCCGCCACAGGCCAAAGGCAGCCCAATCGGCAGGGCAGGGTTCAAGGCAAAGCTGCAACTATCGACGATGGCATTCGGGTTCCCACCTTATCTCAGCAAGCGATGGAGGCATGGGCAAGGGAAGGCAGGCGTTTGTGAGCCCTGTTGCGACCCCTTTCTGCAGATCTGTTGTGAACAGGAGCCGTCTCTCCTTTGTCAAGGCCCTGAGCTCGTCGAGACTCCAGCCGTTGAAACGTTTTCCAGTGACAAAAGCAAAGGTAGGGCTCTCAATGACGGAGGAGGTTCAGTTCATCTTTCCGACATCTGTCAACTCAGGGCACCACAGAGGTCGCGGATTTGGCGCAACAGACATCTATGCACACGGTCGCAGTGAATACCTTTGCTGTCGATCTTGCGGAAGACTCCTGCACAGTCAAGGCAGTTTCGGAACAGACGCTACAGTATAGGGCCTAGATGGCCCAGGGAACATATGCCAGGCCGGTCCTCGGCCAGGCTGAGGCAAAACATAATCCTGGGCAAGCCGGAGCTGTGCTGCGCAACGTCAAGTCGAAGTCGATGCTCGAGCTCAAGTGCGCCGTGTGGTGGCCAAGTGGCTGGATCCAAGAAGGTGTGCTTCAGCATCACCTCCAAGATTGAAGCAGGAGCACAACAAAGCTCGTGATCATGATCGCAAGCTGAAAGTTCCCAAGAGGCCGAAGACCCCAAGCGCCTTCTTCTGTGCGTCCAGCACGACCAGCCGCTTCGAAGCTCGAGGATCGCACTGCATTGCGACCTGTGGGGCACCAGTTCAGACGAGCTGACCAGCTGTGACCCGGATTTTCTCGGCTGCCCTCTTGGACCTGCATGCTGCTCCAGGCATATTCCTGCGCAACACATGGGGCATAGAGCAATCCACTCTCACGCGCTCCGTGTTGCAAGCACCTCGGGCGTCATGTTCAGGTTCAGCGTCGCTCTGCGCTGCAGCTTTGGGAGCGCCCAGAGCCGGTTTTCCACGCCCAGGCCATGTCGTATCCGTCCCAGCTTGCCTCCGACAGAGGGATCGACGGGCAGATCGCGAGAAAACCAAATCCAATTGCAGCCAGGCCACGAACGAAGTCCTGGGTGTTGAATTTTGACTGCTCCAGTTGACATATGACATGTTTCTGCACCACCTCCCCTTGCAATCGAGGCTTCTTAGAGCATGGCTTTTTCATTGACACTAGCATGGGAAAGCCCGGGTTGCTGTATCTGATGCTCCGGGTCTAGAGTCTAGAGCACTGCCTTTGCTGCCCGAGCGCGACGACCTGTGCATGAGGCACTTGGACTCGCTCCTTCTGGGATTGATCCTCCTGTCACTGGAAGACTCTAAGTGGGTTGAGATGCTAAGCACAGCATCCGAAAAGGCAGTCCGTCCTGCGTGCATCTGTGGATTGTGTAATTGCAGCTCGCCGTCTCGCCACGTTCGAACTCGATCACAAACTCGGGCTCGGAAGGTCCTTGGGGAATGGACTGCTCGGCGCAGCAGAAATGAATAGACATACCTATATACAGAAACTACACATATCTATCATACAAGAACCAAGAATCTGAAAGCACGGAATATGAATGAATGAAGAAACCAGCGCTACAATGATAAATCATGAAGCAATAAAATGGCAACGAACGGATGATATGAATGTGTGCATGCTAGACAAACAACAAATACAACAACATGAACATTTAGAAACACAAACCAAAACATAGACATGCATATAGATAGACCTGTTGTGCTTCTCTGAATGTCAGTAGAAGCATAAGTATAGATGTAAGTGTAAGTATAGAATAGTGCCAGTATAAAAGGAAATACAAGTATGTGTGTAAGTGTAAGCGTAGGTACAAGTATAATAAACACATGCGTTTGTCCACCTTCTCTACAGTCTGGTGTGCTTCACCGCGATCCTGACTGCAAGGAGGACCCCCAGCCTGGTTCCGGCTCCTGGGTGCATGTTGTGGAGGTTTGCTTGGCGGTGTACCCCGGCGACGCAACGGTCCAGGTGCCAATCTTGGGTCTACTGGCAATCGAGGTCCAGCGCGACGCGCTCGGACTGCCAATATATTTCTCACTATTTCTCGCGATGGTTCCTCTGGCAAGGGCGGCCAGCATGACCTTCGTTTTTGTTGCATTGGTGGGCAAAGTCACTGTCACCTCCCGGAACCTCTTGACTGCGGCCGGTCAGCGCAACAACATTTTTCAATCGCACCATCAACGGTGATGCTTCGAGCCGCACATCCAAAAATTGCTGCCCACTGCCTCTTTCAGGTGGGGCTTTAGGTGCAAGCAAGGGCTGCGCCCGGCCCGGACTCTGCGCCCCGACGGCGAAAAAAACGAGACATTACGCATCTATGTCTATTAATAATATCTAAGTCTATGCCGTTAATATCTATGTCTCTCTATCTCAATAGGATAGGGCCCTGAGGCAGGAACGGTGCTTACTGACGAACTCATCCACAGTGATCATCAGAACCAGTGGCCATCTTGGCAAATTCCCTGTGCGCCCCACCCTGAGCAAGACAGCAAAGAGTGCAAGAGCTTTTCCCCCATGGTTGGAGCTCAGGCCCCGAGGCCCCGAGCCCCCCAGCCGCCTCTCTGCTGCGCCACAGAAACTTCGGCTCGCGGTCCGTAGGGCCATCAGGGAAGCGCCCTCGTGGCAAAGCTGCATTAACGCCTGGCGAAGTGGGTCAAAGCTGGAGTAGGCTGCGCCGCTTCTTTTTCTCCGGACCTCGAGCGCCGGCCCGGCAGTCACCACCTCCGACTCCGACATGCTCTGCATGCTCTGCCTGGCACAACATATTCAATTCGACCACTGGGCCCGCACCAAGCCGTCTTACCACGGGTTGCCGACATATAATATAAGATTCTCAGGTTCACTCCCCTCGCCCCAACGTCTCAGCTGCGGACAGGCCATGGCCCTGCAGAGCATCGACCTGTCAGCACAAGGCTCTCGAGGCCAAGTAGTTGTGCGTAGCATGGAACTTGGGCAGGGTGGCTGCTTCATCACAGCGAGTTCACAAGTCAGTATGGCTCATTAGGCCTCCACGCCTTTGCCTGACTTTGACAGGTGATCGCACAAAAAGAGTCTCGAGGACATCTCCCATAGCATGTCGGCAGTCGATCCACATGATTTACGTAAGTAATTCGAGGACCGACAACCCTCAAACGTAGTGTCCAACAGTAAACCATCAACGGCCTTGCTCCCGTCACTTAGGGAGCTCCGCGGCGGCATGGCAGAAGGAATCATTGGCTGCCGGCTTGTGTCTCGCGGCAGCGGATGTATGGGCTTGCACTCAGGTTACCAGGTTCCTCCACTGACACGGGCATAGACAAGGCGAGGCTGTGCGGACACCGTGGATTATCCAAGCACTGCCGCACAGCCATTTCATAAGCGACTCGGGGCCGGGCTGGTATGCCAAAACAACCTCAGATGCAAGCCAGCCATTTCGTTAAGTATCACGGGTTGGTTCCGGGTTCCGTCAGCTTTCCCGCCAAAGTGGCCTTCATCGTTGTGGTGTCAAAGGCGGGTTGGTTGAAGTGGACGCCTTATGTTTGGCGGCAGCTGAAAGCTTTTCGACGTCGAAGGCAAGGGCCGGGCTCTTCTCTGCAAAGGACGTCGTGTCAACCATCGTCTTGGCCTAGCACTCCCAGCCAAGCACAAGAAGTCACGGTTCAAGGCAGCTTCATGCCGTGCACTCCATGCTCGAAGCAAGCGACACCCCTTGCTTGCTACCCGAAGATAAGACGGCATGAGTGCATTGCTTCAGCTCGTTGCAGCGCACCTTGCTACACGAACTGTGCATCTGTGAAAGTGAGTGGAGCCTCTGTAAAGGCAAGGACGCGCTCCTCGACGAGGAATTTTTCCCTCGGCAACACGTTCAACTGTTATTGCTTGTCGGCACTACTCCGGCATCTTGCTACACTGGCTGCAGACACTCGCATATTAGAAGCACCAGCACTCTGTCGGTCCCTGAGATTACCACGTCCGCTTCACAACTTGGGCAGAACCTGCACCAGAATACCAAGCGCGACGGATGCACAGGTGCCACGACACTGAGCCTGTCCGGCGACAGTACGTCTGAAGTGCATCGACATGCACATTAGTACATTGTTGGCTGTCGAATCGACATGTTTTCGAGCTTAGCTACATTCTGTTGCTCCAAGAAGTCGGCAAGGTCATGATATGGCAGTGGCCATCGCAAGGCATCGGCACACTTGCGTGCGTGGTGGGCATCCACGAAGTTCCGCGACACAGCGATGCAATCCTGCAGGTTTGTAACCATGTGAGGCACACCGCCCGGAACAACGATCATCTCGCCCGCCTGCACCTCCACATCTACGCGCCAGACATCAGGCATTTGTTCCGGAAAGATCTGATCATGGCGGATCTGATGCCGAAATTGCTCTGAGCGTGACCACACTTCCAATCGCAGCTTGTCCTGCCGCTTTAATATTTTGAACTGATCACTGGGTCGCAGCGGCCAGAACGACCAGCGCTTCCGCCCCATGAGCACAAGCTGGATGAACTGGCTTTCGGCACCGTCCACATGTGCCCCGCACTGGGAACCCCTGGGCTGGACGAACAAGCTTGGGTGATCCCAGAAAGGGTCCTGACCCTGCATGCCTGCGAAGGGGGACTTCCCGATCAGGTCGCAAGACTCAAGGAAAGTTGGCCAGCGTATCCTTGATGCCAACTCCGGGCAGGCAGTTTCGAGTGGATGGTCAAAAAGAACCTGCTGCTTGCCCGCTGCCCAGCCTTGCACGACTGCTCTTAAGCTTTGAGTTCCCCTGCCTGCACTTCGTCCATCGTTTTCCACTTGTGTCATCTTGGCCCATGCTTCACATGCTGGGTCGTACTGCATCAGCTGCAACTGACGCTCTTCACACATCTCCACCAGCTGCTGCAGATGGAGGGCAGGGAGTGTATCTGCCGCGCATGTCGCCACCACTGGCTGCTGCAAGATGGAATATTTCCTAAAAGCATCCTCGGACAGGAAGCTCAACCGATCCACAACCTTGAAAGTCAAATCAACGTCGGAGATCTGCTCCGTCGTCTCAAGTCTGCCGTCGGTCTCCGTGCACGGCTCGAGCCACTGCTTTGAAAGGCGTCTTCTCTTGCCCGGCACGTGGCTCGTTGCAGTTGTAGCGACCGAGGGATACTGCGAGAGGATCTGTTCGGAGGCGGCTGAAAATCGGCGTGCTGCTTGGAGAAGATTGCTCTGGCGAGCCAGCAGGACACCACGCTGGGCACACTGCCACGCCCTCGCCGGGTCTGGGGAGGGCGAGTGCTCCAAAAGGCGGATGATGAGTTGGTCCATGGCTTCAATAATTCGTTCAGCCACAGCTCCCTTTGGAACTTCGGCTCCCGGCCCATCCTTCAGCTCACCCAGGCCCACATCTACCAAATCCTCCAGAGCAGCCCCGGCAGCGAGCCTCAGAGCCTGAGATTCCGGAGTGTAACCATTGTTCATGCAATTGGTGGCAGAGAAGCCGAGGAGGTCTGCTGCATGCTGAGCATCTGCAATGATTTCTGCGACAGTTAGCGTCCTGGGTTCTGTCCTGCTCGAAAGGCCTTGCAGAATGGGGTGCACTTTGGTCAGCTTCGAGTCATCAAGTAAAGAAGAAATCATGTTTCCCAGGCGGGGCATGCCCAATAGACGACGCGCCATGGTCAGTAGGCAGCAGTTGGCTGGACGACCATGCGTGCCTTGTGGATCTCGGAAGCTCAGATGAAAAGTGCGAAATGGAGGCTCCAAATACGTGCTCTGAGCTCCGTGAATCGAAAGCGGCAAGGCATCACATCGTCTTACAATGGATCCGGCAATCAAGCAGAATCGGATGTTGCCGCGCCTCTTTCTTTGAACTCGACGAGCGCGAAGGCCTGACCGTCACTGTCCTGCGGGGTCGTCATGGTGCTTGTGCAGATATGTGCGTATGACTATGGGAATGTATATGTGAATGTGTATGTATATGTATGAGCATATGTGTGCGTACACACGCATAGACATTATTCAAGAATAGGTATGGCTTTTGACATAGACTCACTCACAGAAAGACGATCCGTCTCGCGTCGGCACTAGCCGGCGTCTCATGGACATGTGCGTGTATGCATACCGTGTACGTGTACGAGCACGTGCTTGCATGAACATGAGTACATGTCGACGATTCTGTTCAACCGATATATGGGAGTTTCCGAAAGTAAGGGACCCTAATATAGTCCCGAAGTAGTAGGACCCTCATTGTAAGGACCCCAAAATCAGGTACCCCGAATTTTCGGGAACTCCCATATAACTACAAGCCCTCAACCCCTGCGACCCTTTGTCAGTTTCCAGCCAAAGGGCTGGCCTTGTCCAATCGGAGCGCCTCCAGCTCACCGAACTGCTTGCAAATCACCCTGGCCAAGTTAAATGGGAGTTTCCGAAAATAGGGGACCCTAATTAATATAGCACCCTAAATAGTAGGATCCTTATTATAAGGACCCCCAATAAGGTACCCCTACTTTTCGAAAACTCCCAAATGGGTTCCCGAAAGGTTTGGTATAAAGTTTATTCTAAAGGTTCGTATAAGAAACTTCCTGGCAGGGTTGCAATAAGGGTTTTCGACAGGGAGTTCCTAGAGGGTCAGCATCATAGTTCTTACAAGGGCTCCTTTAAAGACTTTGATTCAGGGTTGCTGTCAGGTTTGCGATAAGACGTGCATAAGGGATGCTATGCAGATTCTTCGTTGAACGTAGCGGGCTCTTTCTACTCTACTCTGCTATTTCAGGACGGCTAGTGCGGATTGGCACGGAACCCTTCAAGCATCTTCCACAAGTCCCCGCTGCAGCGTGGGCTGACAAGAAATCGCCACAAGCGATTCCGAGCTATCCGCAGGTCGAAGCCGTCCCTTGGACTCTCACGACGGGTTTGTCTATGGCACGGCTGCAGCACGAACATGTTCGACACGGGTAGTGACCTTAAACACCATGTACCCACACACCTCAATACGGACCACTACGAACTGCTATGAAATTGCACGATTCGAAACGGGGTCGAGGAGGTTCAGCATGCAGCATGGTCATCCTTGTGCTATGCCTGAAGCCGCGCAATTTCCATGAAGGCGGTTGCTGCATTCACGGCTGACAAGGTGAAACGACGCGGCATTCATACTGCAAAGACGATGAGACCCCTGTCACACACGACAACCTGGTGGCGCACGAATGGCTCTAGGAGTCTGTGTTGGAAGCTTGACCGCGTCAGTAACCTCTGCATCATTGCCAAGATACGGTACCTGAGACCGAACAGCCTGGTCTTTGGTGCTGTACACTTGGACCAATTAGCAAGATGCTCGCTGAAGCACATGAAGCTGCTGCGACAGAGCTGTCCATCCACTTCGTGGAAAACTGCCCATGTCGGAACAAGCATCTGAACATCTAAAAGCTGAAGCAGACTGGTGCAAAAAGCAAAACACCATTGAACCGTAGGGCATTCGAAGCGCTGGCTGTTGGAGTGGCTCAGGACCAGTCTGCAGGGCTTGCGCTTGGCAGAGTCTCTGCATCACGCATCGCAAAGGCAGATACTCCTGACAAAGCAAAGACGATGCTTTCCAATCTTTCCGATAGTCCAGCACTGCAGCTACTGTGCATTCCGAACAAGAGCAACTGCAGCTCGAAGAGGCAGGATGCCTCATCCCATGCGAAAGTTGTTGGAAGTTCGACAGGCTCGACCGGATGGCATAGCACTGCCTGGCATGTGCAGAGCAGCTCAGCCACCATCCGCCACATGGGCATGCAAGAGATCCCAAACATGCACAACATTGCCACAGTAGAAGCACCCCCTTGAGTCGTCGCGCCTGCGAAGGGCACACCAGAGTCCTCAACATGGAAAATGCCAAGCATTAGCGCTCTTCATCCCTTAAGGTTAGGCCAGGATGTGTGCAGATTGGTAAAAGCATCAGAGGGGTGAAGTCCTTGTTTTTGAGCAGCGGCGCTCCCCAGGAGGGCTCCTGGAACCTTCAAGTGGCAAGCGCTGACCATGCGTGAGATTCTCAGTTTCTCATGCTCGTCACTGCAAAGCTCCAACCGTTGCTGTGGGGAGTTCAAAACAGGAAGACGGGAGCTCAGGCATTGCGACGTCTGGCACGGCGGAAAAAGGCCTGACGCTGCCCTCGCCCAATGGGCTGGTGTCAATGTCCGCATTGCTTCCTCCACCCTCACTCTCCTGCACCAGGGTTACAGTAACGAGCCAGTCGCGCGACTGTGCTGACTTCTACACGGCCCTATAGTCAAAAGAGCAAAACGGTCGAGTACTTAGTAATTACTGCTCCTAGAGTGACGGATGCCTCGAACCTCGAACAGAATTATGCAGTTGTAAGGGGTAAGGACGATAGCCTCTGGCGCAGCATGCTTGTCCGCAAAGCGCTGCAAGTCCATCTGCTTCAAGTGGCCTCGCTGGCCCAGCGCTCAAGACGACTTGTAAGCATATCTTTCAACTAAAGGCCGTATCACTCGGAACGGCAAGCGAACAGCAAATGCCCAAACAAGACATGCGAAGTGAAGCATCTCCGGGGCTGACGGTCGTCAACCTTGCTCCATCGGTGCAGGCGAGCTTCAGTTGTTGATGAGCATGTACTTCGGGAAGTTGACCTTCAAGCACATTCTGCATACGCACGTGCTCGGCATCTCATGTCTGAGGAGCCGGCTAATCCACCAGCCCAAACTGGTTTGGGCCGAGTGCCAGCTTGGCACTTCGTTCGCGTCTGTGCCAGTGTTTCCTGGAGCTCCTGCCCGCAAACGCGGCTTCCGCTTCGACATCGCGCAAGACTGAGAACATGCAGAGTCCTGAGAAGCCCAGACACTGTCGGATACAGACACTGCAGCCGGTAACTATGACATCCCTCGATGCGGGGCCTTGTTCACCTCGCCTCTCTCTGTGACCTAGATCGTCAGATATCGGTCGGTTTGGTGGGCCCTTGAGACTTGAGATTGGAGATAGGAGCCGGGCATCGGCGAGCTTCTTCCATCGGTTCAGCTCTGTGGAGAGTGGATGGCACGCCTGGCACACAAGGCTCCGAGCTGGTGGCAATCGAATCGCGTCCCGGTGCAGTGCCGTGCCTGCATGACCTCGGCGGCCGACTGCTGCAGTGCCGGGGAGGAGTGCACCTTGCGGATGGAGGCGAGCTTCTGGTGCGCGCCATCCTGCGACCCAGTTGCAACTTTCTCATCCTGCTCTGATGCAAAACACCATGAAACTGCTGCTTGCGCTCACACTGCCGGTCCCAGTAGGCACCAACTTTCGCCTGTTTCGACTCCAACTGTGCCATCGGTCCCTGGCTCGTCGGCTGAATGCCCGTGCTCAAGGTGACGTCAAAACTCAGGTTCCGGTTTTGGGAACGTGCAACCACAAACCTTGGAGCCTGATAAACAACGACTTTCGTCTCTGGGATCCGTCCGGCCCAATCAAGCTTGTAGTTTCCATCCCACTGCTGCGGCAACAAACAATCTTTGCACATCTTTGCACCTCGGGTTCCTGGTCCGACGGCTTCCATGGAGCCGTTGCACCCTGCAAGATCTCTCATGCATCGGCTGCACTGGACAAAATCACTCCGTGATTGGAGCCCAAGCGTGGTCAAACAGAGACTCCATACTAGTGGTCGACATCTGGGAATCCTGCCTGGAAAGGCACATCTGGGCCCCTGTCAAGGCAGTGCACCAGAAGAATCGACCATCAATCTGATATTGCAACGCGTTTCCTGTCCTATCGCAGCTCTTAAACTCCCGCCTCACAGGACCTCTGGTGAGAGGATGATTCCCGAAGCGGTATCCAGAATTGCTGGGGGCTAAACCGAAGTGCTCCGCCACGATGGCCTGCGAGCTTGAGCTTGAGACATGTTTCCACTCTACATCTTCCACAAGCGAGCCTGGTCCTTGATTCGCATCTCCGTGCGCATGCGCGCCTATGCGGAGCATGACTGGACCGCAGCAGCAAGCTAACAAACGCAGCATGGGAGTCCCAAGTCCCAAGTCTCCGAAAGCCTTCTCATGATCCAGCAGCAGAGTGTGGGGTTTGCGACTGGCGATCGGAACGAACGGCATGTCCTTGGAGCCCGCCGAGGCCTCGGGAGTCTCGGTTCTGGGACCACTGTCGACTCGTAGTCTGAGACTCTGAGATGCTCACTTGGCCGGGGGCTCCGCCGTCGGCAGCTTTGAGCCAAAACACCAACCATTCAGAGACTCAGGCCGCCCAATACAACACAGAACTATGTGGAATCGGACTCGTGCATAGCTAGACAACCGCAAGCCTGCATGCGAACACCAAGATGAAGCAGTGACAGGCCTCACATCCTCCTCCGTAACCTTCCAGGGCAGCTCATCCGATTGACGCAAACCGAAAAAAGGGCTGCGCGTCACCAGTTCCATGGGTCAACTCCGAGAAGTCCGACTCTGCGGAGCAAGGCCCGGTAGGAGCCTCTGGAGCAAGACCAGCAATGTGTACCTGGTAGGTCGCTCTGAATCGCCTCTTGCAGAAACACTATTCATTTGAGTCCTGGGCCGTTCGGAGCCTCTTATCTTCTTCTGCCTCCTTGAACTTCCTGAATCAAGCGGCCGACTCGACGGCAGTCGATGAAAATCTGGAGCGGTTGCTAAGCACGAACAGACAATGCTGCGCTTTCTCATGCTGTCTGTCGCCGTGTCGTCATCATGTTCTCCTACATAGCCACTGTGGACTGACAATCGGAGTCTTCTCCATGCCCCAGCCCTTAAAATGCGGCTTGGCTAGTATGGTCGTGCAGCCACTCGACTCGATATGGGACCAAGAATATCTACAAGAAAAAGACGTGAGCTACCTGACTACGACTAAGAGCCTCCACAACTGCACGCCGGCTCGATACTTTCAGGCCCTGCTCGCTTCGGCACGACCCTAAAGAACAAACAAATTGAAAATCCTCTCAGAAACGAGCCTGTCGCTCGAGCTCCTGGAGGGACGTTCGTTGGTGGTGCCGGGCGGCATGTGAGAAAGGAGAGGCAAACGTGACCTTTTACCAGTACACGAAGTCGGAAAACAAGGGCAAGGTCGGGCCGGGCACTGGCTGACACTGGCGCACGGATCAAAAGCTCATGCTGACATGTTGTCCTTGTGCTCAATTCTTGAGCGCTGCTTGCATCGCGGGCTTGATGACATCAATTGCCTCGCCGCAAGTACCGAAATCCACGCTACATGCAGGTTTTTGATCAGCATTCGGTCGAGGTGCACTCTTCGCATACATCATCGGAACGACCACCCAGACCAGATTAGATCCTGAGACGCACACGGCCGGTTGCCAAGCCCGCACTGTCAAGCAAAACACACAGAGTCCGAGCAACCGATGAAGGCCCACCACCAATGGATCGACTTGGGTCCATCCGTGTGCGTCCACTTCCAGCCCTTGCCTTGGCTATATGGCATGCTAATATAGCAGCCTAAATAGTCGGAAACTCTTATATTTTGCCTCACGCCTGACCCCGCCCAGCAAGCCGGCCTCTCATCCAGTTCATCCATCCTGAAGTCAAGGCCGTGCCACAAGCCACAGACTTTCACGTTGGTGCATTTGTCATGTGCGCGTCTTGCTGCGAGATGTGCTACAAGCATTTGCCCCAAGTGTCCAGGCACCAGCTCGTCGGACCAGAAAACGACGGTGCCGAAAGCGTGGAGTGCGCTGACAACAAGCTGCACCGGGTACCCTGAGATACTTCACAGTCAGAATTGCATCTCCAATCAACCTGCCACCCGTTTTTCAAGCAGAACCTTGGCATCAGCATACACGCTGCCGGCACTCCCTTCCGAAAGGCTCTCTGAAATCCTGTTGAGCCAAGGTTCTGTACCACGCATTGTCCAGAATTCCCTGCAGGTTGTTTGAGCAGATTGCGGCTAAAACATGCCAACATTCCATGGGCATGGCGAGACTCTCGCGGAATGTCTCTCGTCTGGCCTTCAACCACATGCAGCACAAAGCACCGTCGATGATTCCAGCAGGCACCTCAACGGCCAAGACCACCTGGCGTCAGACTCGCTCAACATGAAAAAAACAGCTGCATCGATTTGCGGATGTCTCCTGCCTTGTCGATGCTGGCCTTGGTGCCGTGATAGTCGGCCGGCGGCTTCAGCTTGTAGCCTAGGCTCGCCGAGCTGACATCGCGCCGACTACCACTCTGCCCATGTGCTTTATGTGATAGCTGCATCTGCTCGCCAGGGTGCGGCGGTCATAGTCGCCGTAGCTGAAGAAGGCTTGGCAAAAAGGGTTCCAGGACTTGAACCTGATCTGCTGACACTTCGTCTTTAGAAAAGCCGGGGAATCCTGGAACCCTCCGCAAGAGCGTCGGGCCCTCCCTTCCATTCTGCGTAATCGAAGAAGTTCAGCAGACCTCGGTCGGGATCGGAGGCTGCCTCTGCTCGTCGCAAAAGCGCGGTCCCAGCTTCTTTCGGCCTTTTCCCAACTGCTGTTGAGATTCTGATCTCCCAGCCGAAGTGGATGTAAAAGTTGGCGGCAAGCCACACCTTCGTGAAACTGAAGCACGTGCAGCCGGTAAGCCGACAGCTGGTGCAGCTTGGCAGCCATATTCCATTTCTCCCAGTAGGAGAGCGTCATGGCCACAAGTTTTTCAACTACTACTCTTGCTGGCAGGTCCTGAATGCTGCGGAAAATACATCGCAATTCATGCCCAGAGATTGGGCCCGGTCGAGCCGCTATTTACAGCCAGCTGTGCCAGAGACATGATCGCAAGGTCGTGTCAAGTTGTCCGAACCAGCCTGAAGTACTCTGCCTGAACTCCTTGGGGCTCTGTGTTTGTCGCAGCTTCTTCCTCCTGGTCCTCAGGCCTCAGCCACCAGCACAGTAGCAGCCAGAACGACGTGCGCGAGGGTTGCAGCTTGCAAAAGGGATTTGGCTTCGGGCACCGTTTCCCAAGGCCGCTGGACGTTCCACATCTGACACAGGGTTCCAGACGTTGGAGAGTGTGGCAAGCAGCCAACACCGTGGCAGGACCGTGTTTGTGCACTGAGACGTGCTTTGCCAAGTTGCTTTCCCCATCCACACGACTACCCAACTCGCTCGCTCTGGCTTCCAGATCAGTGAGGAGCGGGTCAAATGCCGCCCAGCACGGCCACTCTCAGTGGCCGCCGAATTCCTTCCTCAATCAAGCGGGCCTTGCTCTGATCTTTGTCGCTCTTCAGGCTGGATCATCTCGAGTTTGCCACCCAAACATCACAAAGGCATGCCAACAGTTCACCCTCTTCCTCAGCTCGAGAACTGGGTCCCTCTTATCTCCACTGTCTCTTGAGTTGGACATGAGGGTTTGGAACATGCCCGCTCACACCACCCCCTTCACGATGATACATGCTCATTCCCCCCCTCACACCGAGCAGATAACACAGCAAAGCTTCATGATCCTTCCCTTAGGATCCGATCCCCAGCCGCCCTAGCCACACTGCTACTGACATGTGGGCTCAGTTGCTAGGACGCTCATGCAGATCAACGCTGCACTACAAGCATCGTCTCCCAAACCAGCCACCAAACGCCAGCCTTCCGGGCCATGTCTTTGGAGCCCGGGTCCATGACGGAGATCTGAAACAGCGCAACAGACGGCTCTCATACGGCCCGAGAGCACCAGCCTCCACGGCTTGCCCCATGACCTGCACAGATCGCGGTGACTCTCGAGAGCACCATCGGAGAAAATGACACAGCACACAAGTCGTCAAGCACGCCTTCGTGCCACTCAGTTGATGTGCCTGGCCAGGCATGCCATCGGCCGCTAACTTACCGCGTGAAAGGCCTGGCCTCCAAGACACCCTTCGAGGTGGCAAAATCGACTTGTGCAAAGAACTCTGCCGTCCTGCAACCGCATTTCAAGTTTCATGCTGCTCTGGTCTCACAGAACTGTCCTTCCCTGGTAGGATCGGAAGAGAACCTCATCGGTTTCCACTGCGACATCTGTGCTCGAATGCTGCTGTGGGCTTCCCCAGACGCCATGCTCACTGTCGACATCAAGTCTAAGAACTGCCACGTTAACAGAAGATGGCCGTCCAACTCGCGAAACTGTTGAGTGCACTGCTCGCTCTATTGCATCGCACTGCCTCAGATTCGCATCTTCCAGTTTGGAGCCATGCCTACACTACACCGACTCGTAAGTTCAGCCCTGCTGCCCAAAAGTCTCTCGTAAGACTTGCTCGCTGACCTGAGGACCTCGGCCGCAGTTGGGGGAACCTACGGTTGATGATATAAATCCTGCATTACCCATAATAAGGATATATCCAAAATTCCCATAGTTCAGGGTCCTTAAGGTAATACAGGGTGTAAAAGCGTTGGTTATAACCTCTATTCATCTTAACCATATTCATATGCACATATGGATCTCCATCTCTTCATGTTCATGCTCATACTCATGCTAACTAACTACTATTAATTAGTATTACTTGCTTGAGCCGTTATAAGTTATAAGTACTACAATTGATACTCATGGTCATTGTTTCTACTTCTGCATCTAGTGGCAGGTAGCACAAGTTTGGCTGGAGCATCGCCGAGACGGATTCCAACAAAGCGATGCAGCCCGCATCTCGGGTCCCAGCTTAGGTTGCGGATGTAGATGGAATTGCGTGCCTCAGCTCACTGAGTCGCACGCCCCCTGTGTCCTCCTTGACATGCGCCGACTAAACAGTTGTTCTCTCTGTCCAGCCGCATCGTCGGCTTTGCAAGTATTTCTGCGATGTGCTTGAGGTACAAGAGCACAAAGGAACTGTCGGGAGTAGGCCCGGCTCGTCGTCACTCTCAATGCGTAATGCTGGGGACACGGTTCCTGATTTGATTATTGGCTTCTCGACCATGCACCGTCTGCTGAGGTCAGGGCAGCAAACGCCATGGCTGCGAGACGCTCTGAAGATGGAAATGGGAAGTGGGAGTATGCACTCAATTAGCTTACGAAGCACAAGCCTATTTGGCTTCACGCTCCAACTATCAGGTCGAAAGGTCGAAAGCTGGCTTCGAATCTTGGGCTAACGGTTGCCAAAAGGCAAGCTTGCTTCCGAGCCTTCCGTGTCACAAGACCCCCCCTCCCTGCATCGGCATTAACGCATTCAAGTCCGGGTTGGCATGTTCATTTCGCACATGATGCGTCCTACCGTACGGCTTTAACCCGTCCAAGAGCATGACCTCGCTGGAGCCGATGAGGACAAGTCGTGAGATGAGCCACGCTGCGCGAGAGGGACATGAAAGCGGCCCTGAGTGTCTTGCGATCCTCTTCAATGAACTACGGAAGAATTGTGAGGCAAGCATCTCAGCATGGGCTAAAGTGGCGGTAGCCTGGCGGTAGCCTAGCAACTTCACGACGCGCAGACAGTCATCAGCATTTTCGAGCCGTCAAGACCCGCTGTGAAACATGAAATACACGGCCACGACAAGCATCACTAGCATTAGCCCGGCGATCATGTACACCATTCTCTTGTTCTGATCCGCTCGCCTGAGCATGCTGTCCAACGTGTGGCCAGCTGCGCTGTAATTCTGGCCCACCTTGCCCATGTTCTCGCGGCTGCGCTCCATCACTTCTCTTTGCTGCCGCAAATCGCTCATCACATCTATTCCGATTTGTTCGGATTCCAGAGCTGCCCGCTTGGCTTCAGTCAACTTCAAAGATGCTTCCAACATGGACTGGTTCATGTCCTCGGCCATGTGCTCACTGGATGGCTTTCCCAGGGTCGTTTCTTCCAGAAGCATAGCTCTACTGACGGCTTCGGAAGCCTTGCGGCGCTCCGTCAATGCCCGCCTGCACTCCTGAACCTTGGACTGGACAGGGCCGCGTGCTTCCGGTGGCATTGCTCTCACTTCCAGCTCCATTTGCTTGACTGCCTGCTCGGCCCTTGAAATGCATCGGTCTGCATCTGAAAGAAGCTTTGCCGAGGATGTACTCTTGGCACGCTCCAAACACTCCTCTGCTTCGTGGCAAAGCCTGGTGAAGTCAGCTTCATACTCCGTGAACATCTCCGACACCGTCACGTGCTGAGCCATGGCCAAAGTCTATGGAAATGGACTGCGGGACCCAATAGCTCAGAAATTTACAAGCCCCTTCAGCGAGACAGATGACAAGACAGTAACGTACTCGGCATAGGACAATGAGCACACGTGTCTTAGTCTTATGCCACACCTGGCTGAGTTGTTGAATGCTGCACTATCGAAACCTGTGGCTTCGCTGCCAGCAGTCGGTCAACACATTGATGGCCCGACGACATCGGCGCTGATATATTTTGTCGGCATTCGACGGCCACATGAAGGATGGCTTCTGGTTTGCAACTGGCTTCGACTGAGCGGTATCACATCGCTAGGATCTTGTAAGGCGGACCTGTCGCTAGTTTAATGGAGCGGCGTCCATCCTACCGGCCCAGATGACTCGAGTACCAAAATGCATTTGCTGCGCAATTTCAGCATGGCCAACGCAACTTGCCTACCCGGTAAATTTTGTAGACACATCTGCCTTCGGCAGTTTCAACCACATGCGAACAGGGTGACCAATCACACGCAAACAGTCACCGTGCAGTAAAAGAGTTTCGAGGCGAAGACCGGGCAACGCAGTGTTAGCGAGCCTTCGTTCCTCAACTTCAAAGTCGTGGCGTTGCATGAAAAACGCGTATGCGCCTTCTTCTGCCATGATGTCCTGTCTTATGTTCACATGAGACTGGAGCTGTGCAACACGCACGCAGTGAGACCTTACTGGCGCCTCTTTCTACTGTTGCTGCCGACGGTACGCTTTACTCCACTGGTGTATTTGGTAATGCTCGCTGCTTACAACATTCAAGGGTGTGAATCGAGGCAGCATGCGACCGCTCTCTGGCCTGATCGGATCTGTCAGGATCCCGGCGACTACATGGTCAGGCACCCTGCAACCAAGGCGTCATGGTGGCGAAAGGCCAAGCTGCCAAACACTCGCTCGGGCCTGGTAGTTTGAGGAGTTCGGGACCAGCGCCACCCCCACAATCGCTCCTGCGAAAGGGGAAGCGATCTGTGCTGGGGCTTTGGTGACCGCTAGGCTCCCTCATACAGACCTGTATGACGTCAACGGCCATACCGCAATCATGTGCACATGCGGTCTTCTTCAAGCTGTCGGATCACTCCACAACTCAACCACCTGGATTCAGCAGCGATTGTGCTCGCTAAAATCCCAGGGAGAGCCCATAGGCTGCTACAGAGTACTTTGAGCGAGAGCGACTTGCATCACCGCTGCACGTGGCGTTCTGCAGATGACATATTCCTACGGTTGCGTGATGGCCCTGCGGCAGATGATGCGCGCTGGTAGCTTTCTGAAGCCTTTCCGGAGCCTGGCCGGGCCCCGGTTCTCTACGGCAGAACTTGATTGCGAGAAGTAAGTGCCACTAGAAGTACTAGTTACGAGTAGCTTTGTTCAGATCTCAGGGCCCGCAAGGCTAAGTCGGCTAAGTGAGACGTCCGATGTGGGTACTTTGGAGCTTCAGGCCGCTATATCTTTGATCTAGCCTGCGCGGACTCTGTGGGCAAATGAAGAGCCAACAGCCAGTGACGCATGGGTCAGCATGAGTACCGTCGCATCGATTGCCCACAGTCGTCCCTATGACAAATTAGCATGCGAAGCGGACAATGCTTTGGCTGTCACGCGCACAAAACGAGAGAACTCTGCGATGGCCGCGGTTGGGCATCGACTTCCAAAGTGCAGACTGCGTCATGCAGCTTGCACCCAGTGAGACACAAACTGCTGCTGCTTTGTGGCATCCACGACTTTCTGTGCTAGAACCGATAACGAAGCAGCAACGCTAGATTCCGGGTTTGGAAGAACTGAGACTGCGCGAGACGGTGATCATCGGTGAAGTCTACATCGGCCTCCAGCAAAAGCAACACGCATTCTTGTGCTCGGCGAGACTCAGAAAGCTTGTTTTGGGAATGACACGTGTGCAGACACATCCAAGGCGGCTTACTTCTTTCTTGCCTACTTACTTGCCTTTTTGCTTGCTTTACTTGCTCAATGACTGACTTACTGTGCTTCTACTTACTTGGTACATATACCGGAAGACAAAAGGTGGACTGACAGACAGCCAGCCAGGCAGACAGACAGAGAGAGAGAGAGACAGAGAGACAGGGACGGACGGAGGGACAGTGGGACGATAGACGGGCAGAAACAGGCACAGACAGTTCATTTCAGCATCACTGCCTTCCGTATGGAAGAAGCCAGGCATTAACCAGAGCTCCTCGCTCCATTGCGACGGTCATGCCTGCAGCATCACTCGACAAGAGGACATGAAGGTCTGCGGCCATCTGTTTGACTTCCAGCTGGCAGGCACTGCTTTCAGGTGACCTGCACGTCCACTAGTAGACATGAACAGTCACGGCCTCCACGGCGGTGTAAGCTACTTGCGCGTTGCGGTGGCTGCGCACACGCCCTAACAGGCGCACGCCTTGGCTTGCATAGACTATGATTATTTCAGAGGCTCTGACACCGGGCTGAATTACTTACTTACTTGCCCAGGTCGGGAGGGGCAAACAACTCTGAGAAAAGCACCAAGCACCACCAGGGACAAAGAGATGCAGCCGGCCATAAAGGAACCAAAAACGTCGATGATTTCTCGCGATTCCAGATCCTCGATCATAGTTCACACCAGCTGCGGCACCACAACAATGACAAGAGAACCCCCGTGGCAGTCCTGAGCCCGAAGGCGCACCTTCTCATAGTGCATCATGACATTCCTGAGATCGCTTTCATGTTGCCTGTAGGACCTATGGCTGACCGCCGAACTGGTCGAACTGCTCTTTCTTACTTGTACGTCACAGTCCCAGGTGAGACAAGCAGCGAAACATAGGACGGCAGCTCACTCTTGGCCTCCTCCGTGAGCGTCATATAGCGGCCTGGATGAGAAGCGATCCGGAAAGTTCTCCACTAATTCTCTCTCATGAATTTCTGCCACTCAGTCCCTACCAATGATCGTGGTCGAAGATAGCAAACTGTGTAGCACCACAAAGGACCGGCCACGACCCGCTTCGTGCACACTTTGAAAACTGGAGCCACCGTGGGTGTGTGAGAACTCCCAAGACTGGAGAAGTCAGCGTCGCCAAGAATTTGCTTCAACCGCTCGAGTAGAACAGGCTCCCTACGTACTTTGAACCTCCAAGTCAAGGCTGCTTGTGCGTTTCATTTCATAGCAGCATGGGGGCCCTAGCCCCTGGCACTCGAACATGAGACTGCAGGCTTGACTGAAGGCTTTGTCTCAAGCGAGACCAGACGGCCTTGCCCTTGCTTCAACCCGGACTGAAGAACCGGGCACTGGCACTGACAGAGACAGACAACACACATGCACGCGCGGACACGCACGCACGAAACAAAACAAAATGAAAACTAGCAAAGACAGACAGAAAGAGACGGACAGCAACGCAGAACGACAAAGACAGGCAGAAACACACAGACACACACAGAGACACACAGACAGTCAGACTCACCCGTCTCGCGAAGCGAAAATTGGCTGAGATCTTAAACAGGGCCAAATCGGGCGGGTTTTTGCTTTTCATCTGAGCATAGGGCGTCGTCGGCGCTTGCCCCCTTTGCCGCATTCCGCGGTGCACTGGCTCCACCTGGATGATTGATGGAAGACTGAGCCCAATGCAACAGCCCCAACAGCGCAAGCTTCCTTGCTGTCCTTCATCCAAGCAACTCGCCCCAGTTCTGCCACTCACAGAACTTTTGTCCAGTACACCGTCTCGGGCATTTCCCGAGCTCCATCAGCTCTTTTGGCTCGCATTCCTTGCCACCTTCGCCAAGAAGGCTGTTGATTGATTCGTTGTCTGGCACGCACACACACACACAATCGAGCCAAGCAGCCATTCCGAGGGAAGTCAATAATCTTCCTGGAC